TGAGCCACATCCCCAGCCCCATTTTTTTTTTTTTTTAATATTTTTTAGTTGTAGGTGGAATCAATAACCTTTTTATTTTATTTTTATGTGGTGCCAAGGATCAAACCTAGTGCCTCATGCATGCTAGGCAATTGCTCTACCACTGAGCCAGAACCCCAGCCCCACATTTTCTTCTTCTGCCTGTTTTGAGTAGAATTTTCTATTCTGAATACTCTGAAGGTTCTTTCCTTGTTACAATTATGAGTCCCCTGCAGGCCTTCCAAGCCCTTATTTATTTGGTGTTGGTCCATGTCTCCTGGCTTCTCTAAGAAGCAAAGGGCTCAAGAGTAAGCACCTGACCCCCAGTTCCCCAAGAGTAGTAGATTCATTTGGTCTTATAGCCATCCTGAGAAACTGACCTCTTATTCCATCCTTTTTCTATTTAGCCAAGCTTTCTGAATCTTGGTGGGTGAGGAGAGGAAAGATTTTATTTTCTGCCTGTCTCTTAGAAAATTCCTCTGGATACCTCCACCCCTGCAAAGAAAAATGTGGTGAGCTAGTCCTTCAGGGGAATGTCCCATATCTTGCCAGCATGCTGGGGCAGGTAAAAGAGCAGATTTGCCCTTTCTAGTTTTCTCTTGTTTAATTTTTTTTAAACTTCGAATCTATTAACAGAAAATTTAAAACAAATAGAATAATGTAATGAACCCCCATGTCCCATCACCAAGCTTCAGCAATGATCAACTCATGGCCAGTTCCTTGATATATCCAGTATATGTTCACTTAACCCAGATATCCTACAAAATTTTCCATAACTTGTATCTGGGTCCAGTTAGGATCAGTTGTGGTTGGTTCATGCATCTTGTCTTAAAATCCATACATTTCCCCTCAGCTCTCACTTTTGTTGAGGACCTGGAGTTCTGTAGTTTCCTGTTAGAAGTTACCTGTTGTATCCCCCAGGGTCACTTTGTTCCTCTTTGTATTTCCTGTAAAATGGTTATTAAAAGGAGAGGAACCATAATTTTTAAACCTTTAAATATCAGGAATGTTTCCTCATTGTGGCCATACTTAATCAAAACGATGAATGGATAAAGTTGTAATTTTAGGTGCCAATTTTAGAGCCCCAAGTTGGAAGAATATTTATCTAAAATATCAAACAGTAATGTCATGTAAGGACAGAATCCTAACTTCTACCTGAGGAATCTATGAAGAGAAATATCCTTCTACTGACACTGAGATTCATGGTGCAGGAAAGCCTGCTGTGGGTGTAGGTCGGGAATAAATACCATGAACTTCTACCGTCTGTAGTGTCTACCTGGTTTTCTTTTTCCTTTGGGGTTGTATGAGTTTGTGCCCTGGGGTGGTGAAAGAACTGGCATAATTTTCAAGGGTTGACTACACTGTCAAGAAGTGTAAAACTGGGAGGGCGGGTTGTGCCAGGSGGGGGGGGGGGGGGGGGGGGGGGGGGGGGGGGGGGGGGGGGGGGGGGGGGGGGGGGGGGGGGGTAAGGCACCTGGCTGACCTGAACAGCCAGACTGGAACAAAACCAGCGGACTCAGAAGACTGAGCCTGGGGCTTCTTGAGAGGGCAGGGCGGGCATGAGTCAGCAAACCTCTCAGAGGGTTCCAAAGTGGACCTGCCTGGACATACAACTGTATAAGCGATTCGAAAAACGCTTAAAACATCGTTTTCTGCTAGGTTTTTATCAATCGTCATCCTATTGGAAGACTCCCATCCGCAAGACCACTCATGCTTTGCGCCCTGATAAACCTTGAGGGCCCTTGCCCCACCCCTCGCTTCTGGATCGCCACCTCCCAAAAGGCTGAGAGAACTGTACACATGGCTAATCTTGCAACAGTAGGCTTTGCGCAGGCGCAGAAAGAAGCTTGTCTAAACTGGGAGCGGCGCTTGCGCGCTGTTCTGCCAGCCCTGTTCTCCCCGCCCGACAGATTGCGTGCCCTCGGCTCGTTTCTTACGTCACTGCTACGCATGCGCTGTGAGAGGAGGAGCGAGATTTCGGGGGAAGGGTAGGGGGCGGGCCTAGACAGAGGTCTCTCGGCGACTGCGCGGTCGGGATTCCGACTGGAACATGGCGACTTGTGCCGAAATCCTGCGGAGCGAGTTCCCAGAAATTGACGGACAGGTCTTCGACTACGTGACTGGTGAGCCAAACCGAATCATCTGGCTGATGAGGCCGAATTGGAGGTCGCGGGGGAAGAGTAAGGGATGGCAGTGTTGGAGACCGCTACCAGGCCTCTCCTCTTGAGTGACCTCTTGTCCCGGGGGGCGGTTGGGTCTGGAGCGCGGACTGGGGTCGCGATTCAAGACCTGATACTGTATGTCCACCCGACCGCTGTCTACCTGATCCTGCCACTCTTCGCCCAGGCGTTTTGCACAGCGGCAGCGCGGACTTCGAGTCTGTGGATGACTTGGTAGAAGCTGTGGGAGAACTATTGCAAGAGGTTTCCGGGGACAGCAAGGATGACGCGGGCATCAGAGCTGTGTGCCAACGCATGTACAACACTCTGCGCCTGTATGTGCCAAGGAATAGGGGTCGATGGGGGCGAAGGGAGGCTAACGGTTTGGAGACAAGAATTGGGGGGAGGTCTCATGGCGGTAGAGCTTTTCCCTCAACTCCTAACTGCTCTTTCTATCCCTATCCCTGTAGGGCTGAGCCACAGAGCCAGGGAAGTAGCCAGGTGCTACTGGACGCCCCTATCCAGTTGTCAAAGATAACGGAGAACTACGGTGAGAGTGAGGGGAGATTGAACTAGCCGCCCTCTGTCTTTTATGCAGCTTCCACCCCCAGCCACCTGTGCCCTACAGCTTGGAGGACTCCTTCCATCTCTTTTTCACAGGGCAAGAGTTGTAGGAGCTAGTTGACATGTTTATGAGAGCAAAAGAGCCTGTGATGATGGGAATAAGACTGGAGGGTTCTCCCAGCTGTTAGGTATGGTAGGAAGTATATGGGTCTTGGAGCTGGACAAATTTGATGTCATTTCCCCAGTTTTGCAGCTTATTGATCAGTAGTAAAAGAGTTGTTTACGTGCCCCAGTGCCTATATCCTTATATGTGAGATTTGTGGGAGGTTTTAGTTTGGAGAAAATCATAGCTGTTCATCTCCAGGGTTGTAATACTTTCTTAAAAATGTGTGTCCATACCAGGTTCTTGTTATCACTCAAAATGTTAGTTTTCCTTCCCTCAGGGAGAAGGTGACTGCTTTTTCTTCTCACTTACAGACTGTGACACCAAACTTCCGGGACTGCTAAAGAGGGAACAGTCCTCGGTGAGGAGGAAGTGATAGGGAGGGAGCTGTGTCTGTGGTGGGTATGGGAGTTGGCTATCCAAATGTCAGTGTCTTTGGGGGGATTTTTTAAAATTCTTTTTTAGTTATACATGACAGTTTAATATTTTGATATATCATACCTACATGATTTGGGGGGGATTTTTAATTGTGTCTTTCTGTGAACTTTTGAGTCTGTTCAATATGAGTAACTTGTGAGGGTTTACTTGAGATGTAAAGAGAACATCTCTTTCTGAGCCTACACCTTAGGGTGAAATGGTTGTGTTTGGAATTCACTTAGACAGTGAATGCAAAGAAGCTAGAAAAGGCCGAGGCCCGACTGAAGGCAAAGCAGGAGAAGCGCTCAGAGAAGGACACCCTGAAGACCAGCAACCCACTGTGAGTTTAGGAAGAAGGGCTCAGATGGAGAGCAGAGCAGTCTATTGTGACGATGGGTGGTTGGGAGCACAGAAAGCTATACACTTATCTATTTTAAAGAGTCTTAGAAGAGGCATCAGCCAGCCAGGCGGGCAGCAGAAAGGAGAGTCGATTGGAATCATCTGGCAAGAACAAGTCCTATGATGTGCGAATTGAGAACTTTGATGTGTCCTTTGGAGATAGGTGAGAGAATGGCAATATGGGGTGGCATTCTTTTTCTTTTTCCAATGTAGGGAGAATTTGGAGAGATGAAATGGGCCTAAAAACAATGTTAGGATTCTGCTCTATTTGCTATGTGCCTGTTTTTAAAACACCCTTAATCTCCTTTCTACCACTCTTGTAGGGTACTCCTGGCTGGGGCAGATGTGAACCTGGCATGGGGCCGCCGATATGGACTGGTGGGACGGAATGGGTTAGGGAAGACAACACTGCTGAAGATGCTGGCCACCCGGAGCCTGCGGGTCCCAGCCCACATTTCCCTGCTACATGTAGAGCAGGAGGTTGCTGGAGATGACACCCCTGCCCTGCAGAGTGTGCTGGAGAGTGATAGTGTGCGAGAGGACCTGCTACAGCGGGAGCGTAAGCTCAGTGCCCAGATTGCTGCTGGCAGGTGAGACTTAGGGAAGACCTAGCAAAAGCTGTTTTTCAGAGTGCCTGCCATGCTGTCCCAGTCCTTGATTTGCATGTTCATCCTTCTGCTTAGCAGAGCTTAGAACATGGCATTGTGGGACTCTGAAGCCCTCATTCTTTCAGCACCCATTGACTCAATACTTTGGGCAAGTCTTCCTGTGTTCTATTCCTGTTCTGGCAACAAAGCAACAAGTAGCCTGTTTTCAAACTATATAGGATGCAGGGCATCTTCCTAGACTGCCTCAGCTTAGGCTGGTTGTTCTTTCTCTTTTCCAGGGCAGAGGGTCCAGAAGCTGCACAGCTGGCTGAAATCTATGCCAAATTGGAAGAGATTGAGGCTGACAAGGCACCTGCCAGGTATTTGAAATTCCTCCTCCTCATTATATTTTACCTTTCCCTCCTGTGAAGTGTTCCAACTAGGTTTTTTAAATTTCTTCATTCCTAGGGCATCAGTCATTCTTGCTGGACTTGGCTTTACTCCTAAAATGCAGCAGCAACCCACCCGGTGAGTGATGCTTGCCATTCTTGGTTCTCAACATTGTTGACTCTGATTAATACCACTAATGTGTCTCTGTTTAGGGAGTTCTCAGGTGGCTGGAGGATGAGACTGGCCCTGGCCCGGGCCCTGTTTGCTAGGTGAGTCTTCTGAAACCATGTGTGAGCCTAGGGAGGATGGGTCTTAGRACATGACAATGAGTCACTGATATAAAACCTCATGCCATGTATTCTTTTTCATAGGCCAGATCTTCTGCTATTAGATGGTGAGTTTAAAATGGGTCACCCTGACTTCAAGGTGGGGACAGGTAATAACATCTTTTTTTCCTAGTTCTACAGCCCTTTAATCACAAGTGTGTGCCCCCTACTTCTTCTACAGAACCCACAAACATGCTGGATGTAAGAGCCATTCTGTGGCTGGAGAATTATCTACAGGTGAATTTGGGGAAAGGCTCTGGAGTGGGTTCGGGGAAAGTCTGCCTCTAAGACACTTGGGAGCCTGGGATCTGTTTACCCTCCCAAACTGGGCCTGCTGTCCTGTGACTCCTCAGACATGGCCCTCCACAATCCTAGTCGTCTCTCACGACCGAAACTTCCTGAATGCCATTGCCACAGACATTATCCACCTGCACAGTCAGCGGCTAGATGGTTATCGGGGAGACTTTGAGACCTTCATCAAGAGCAAGCAGGAACGGCTGCTTAATCAGCAGCGTGAATATGAGGCACAGCAGCAGTATCGCCAGCACATCCAGGTGTGGGGCACACAGGGCTTTGAGTCCCATCCCATGGTATCAGTTGTGGGTAGCAAGGGAGTTTGACCAATCCTTGCCCTCCCCCTGCAGGTTTTCATTGACCGGTTTCGCTACAATGCCAATAGGGCCTCTCAAGTGCAGAGTAAACTCAAGATGCTGGAGAAGTTGTGAGTACAATGTCCTTGGCCAGACCCTGTTTTCTTCATTTCTTCCCTCATTTTGCAGGCTATCTTTGCCCTCCTGTTCCAGGTCTTCTTTGGCTGKCAGGCAACTTTGACTTCATTCCCTGCAGGAAAGCAGAAAATATTTTACACTGCTCTTAAAGGGTTGATTTTGCCTTTTTCTATGCAACCATTAGTCTACAATCTGTCTTTACATATTCGCTTATTCTAGATGTTTTGTATTTAAAAAAAAAAAAAAAATCCTACAGTATGTGACCTTTGGTATCTAGCTTCTTTCACCTAGAAAGTTTTCCAGGTTCATCCATGTTGTAGCATGCATCAGTACAATTTTTTTAATGGCTGAATTATATTCTGTTGTGAATATACCATATTTTGTTTATGGATTCATCTGGTCGTGAACATTTGGGTTGTTCCTATTTTGATTTTTACAAATAATGCTGCCATGAACATTTGTGTACAATCTTCTTGTGTGAACATGTTTTCATTTCACTTGGGCATATAGCTAGGAGTGGATTTGCTGGTTTACTTGGTGATTTCATGTTTAACTTTTTGAAGATCTGCCACACCATTTTTAAAGGACATACACTGTTACATTTCTGCCAGCAATGTATGAGAATTGAAGTTTCTCTGCATCTTTGGCAACACTTATTCTTAACTCTTCAGTTTTAGCCATCTTGGTGAGTGTGAAGTGGTTTAGACGTGCATTTCCTTAATGACTAATGATGTTGTAATTTGCGATTTTAATCTCAAGTAGCCTTTCTAGAAGTTCTGGGAGGAAGATTAAGTTCATAAAAGTTTAGAACTTTGTGACATTTAAACACCTATCATAATATATTAACCAGGAATAAAAAAAAAAAAAACTACAAAAAAATAGGGGCTAGGGATGTGACTCAGTGGTAGAGTGCTTGCCTGCTATGTGTGGAGGCCCTGTGTTCAATCCGCAGTACCACATATGGGAGGAAACTACTTCCAAAAAGGGGGTGAGGATATAGCTCAGTGGTAGAAAACCTGCCTAGCATGTGTGAGGTCCTGGGTTCTGTCCCCAGCACTGATGAATAAGGTAATTTTTTTTTAAAGCTTAAAAAAAAAAGATGGATCTTTTTCAGCAGATAGTGAACTAGAAAAATGTATTCTAAAATAATATCAACTGGGTTGGGATTACAATATTTTCCTAAGTTTTCTCTGAGCTTATATTACTTGTGCAAGAGGAACAAGGTTATTTTTTAAGTTTGTTTTTATTTATTTATTTTTGCCTGGATGCTGAGGATTGAGCACAGGGCCTTGCACACGATAGGCAAGAGCCATACCCTGAGCCATAATAAAGTTACTTCTTAAAATCATAATTTAGTTCATTTTCTCTCTCTCCTCAGACCTGAGCTGAAGCCTGTGGACAAAGAATCCGAGGTTGTGATGAAGTGAGTGCTAAACTGGGGGTGCTGGTGGGGAAGCCCTTATTTCTGGCTACCCAATGCTCCACACCCACACCTCCTACAGATTCCCTGATGGGTTTGAGAAGTTCTCACCACCAATTCTGCAGCTAGATGAGGTGGATTTCTACTATGATCCTAAGCACATCATCTTCAGTCGTCTGTCTGTCTCAGCTGATCTTGAGTCCCGCATATGTGTGGTATGGTTACTGTTTGTCTATTCCCTGAGCTGCAACTCTTGCGCCACAGAAAGTGCGGGTTGGGTCATCCTGAGGCCATAGAAGGAGGTGTACAGGCATAGGAGTTGGGTCTAGGCAAAGGACATTGCAGTACTCATACTCTAGCCTCATACAGCTACCCACAGAGCTTAGAAGCCTGGCATGTGGTGTTTTCTGAATACTCAGAGCAGTACTTTTTCTGTCTCAGTTCTAAGTTAACCATGGGATGTTGAAGCAAGAACATGGGTTTCAGAATCAGATTTCCAATCCTGACTGACTATACCATTCCCTAGCTTGGTTACCAAGCAATGTCTTCTCCTTAAAAGGGAGATAACAAGCCGGGCATGGTGGTGCATGCCTGTAATCATCCCAGAGGCTCGGGAGGAGGATCGTGAGTTCAAAGCCAGCCTCAGCAAAAGCAAGGCGCTAAGCAAATCAGTCTCTAAATAAAATACAAAATAGGACTGGGGATATGCCTCGGTAGTTGAGTGTCCCTAAATTTAATCCCTGGTACCAAAAAAAGTGGGAGGTGGGGGGTGCCTAACAAACTAGGCACAATGGTGTACTACTATAATCTCAGAGAGTCAGGAAAACAAGGCAGGGGATCTCAAGTTGCCCAGCTTGTAACTTAGCAAGTCTCTGTCTCTGGGAATGTAACTCATGTATAATGCCCCTTGGTTTAATCCCTGGTACCATAAAAAAATAAAAGGGGGGCTGGTAGCATCTACCTCATTTGGTTATTGGGAAGATTAAATCCTAGCACTTAGTAAGTACTCAAGTATTTGTTTTAGTTTTTTAGAGAAATAGTTTTTTGTTTATGGGACTGGGGATGTCGCTCAATGGTAGAGTACTTGCCTATCCCTGCAAAAAAGAAAGAAATTTGGGGGGATATTGGAAGGCACAACCTAGGACCCCTTCTCATCTCCTTCCTTTCTGTGTTCCTTCATGTGCGCTCTTTAACATTCCTATGCTACTTACAGGTTGGGGAGAATGGGGCTGGAAAGTCTACCATGCTGAAGCTACTTATGGGGGACTTGGCACCTGTTCGAGGCATCAGACATGCTCATAGGTAAGGTACCATCACTAACCAYGTGTACGCATTCATTTACACTCAACACTGCTTACACTTCTTTTTTTCTGGAGGGGGGGATAATAGACAATAAGTTTAATTGACTTACAGTTGCCAAAGGAATATAATACATTTTAAGGCCTCTCTTATTAGTAGAATTATATTGTCATCACATAAAGGTAGTATGTGACTACAAATATCCATAAAGTTTTATAGAGTAAAAGAAAAAGGATCAAGCATTGGTTAAAATGCATAAGGAGTGTTTTATGAGTTAAAATTTTTAAAAAGAAAAAGAAGTAGGGGGTAAGGATCTCATGAAAATCAAAGAGATCAGTAGAGGAAAGACGAGGTGGTGGAAGGAGAGGAGGGAGGGGGAAAGTAATAGGGAATAATCCAAATTATATTGTGATATTGTGTGCATGTATCAATATGGAACAATAAATTCCATTATTATGTACAACTATGATGCACCAATTAAAAAAATCAGGGGGGAGGGGGATGGGACCAATTATAAGGATTAAATCTGGCAAAAAGGAAGACAAAAAATAAGCCAGAAGCTAGAACTGTACTGGAAACAGAAAATTATAGAAAATTTTTTTAAATCAACACATATTTTGTACAGATAATACATTATATCAGTTTCTCTTAAAACATATAACATGTATTACAAAATACTTGTCTGCAGTTTCCCATACTAAGAGTATATTGTTTGAACGTTCTCGTTGTAACAATGGAATTTCACAAATTTATTTTCTTTTTCTTTTTTTTTAATTAATTCTTTTTTTTTACACAAATGGAGCACAACTTTTCATTTCTCTGGTTGTACATGATGTAGTCACACCATTTGTGCAATCATACCCATACATATGGGTAATTATGTCCATCTCATTCCACCATCTTCTCCGCCCCCTGCCCCCTATCCCCCACCCTGCCACACATACCCTCCCCTCCTCCCCTTTGCTCAATCCAATGTTTCTCCATTCTTCCCTCCCCCCACCCCCATTATGGATCAGCATCCACTTGTCAGCCTTTGGTTTGGGGGGATGGGCTCACTTTGCTTACTATGTTATCCAACTCCATCCATTTACCTGTAAATACCATGATTTCATTCTTTTTTTAAGGCTGACTAATATTCCATTGTGTGTATATACCACAGTTTCTTTATCCATTCATCTATTGAAGGGCATCTAGGCTGTTTTCACAGTTTAGCTATTGTGAATTGAGTTTCTACGTTGAAGTGCTGCATGACAGTAGCATGCTGATTTTAAGATCTTTGGGTATAGACCAAGGAATTTAACTGGGTCAAATTGTGTTTCCATTCCAGATTTTCTAAAGAATCTCCACACTGCTTTTCAAAGTGGTTGTAGCATTTTGCAATCCCACCGAAATGAATCAGTGTACCTTTTTCCCCCACATCCTCACCAGCAATTATTGTTGCTTGAATTCTTGATAATTGCCATTCTGACTGGAGTGAGATAAAATCTTAGAGTGGTTTTAATTTGCATTTCTCTAATTGCTAGAGATGTTGAACATTTTTTCATAAGTTTGTTGATCAGTTAAATATTCTGTAAAGTGTCTGCTCATTTCCTTAGCCTATTTATTGATTGGATTATTTGGTTTTTGGGTGGTGTTTCTTTGAGTTATTTATATGTCCTGGAGGTTAGCCACATAAACTTTTTCATAGTCATTACCTTGTATCTTCATTTCTGTCTGCAGGAATCTGAAGATTGGCTATTTCAGCCAGCACCACGTGGAGCAGCTGGACCTGAATGTCAGTGCTGTGGAGCTGTTGGCACGCAAGTTTCCTGGTGTGTTAGGGATCTGAATTGAGGCAAGAGGGCTCAGGCTGACCTCTGCGGCTAGGGGTTGGTATAGAGCAGCCATACTCAAGACTAGGTATAAGACACAAGCATATAGAGGCAATGGGCATTTAGGGACAAAGTTGGGTCAGGAGCCTACCTGATGAGAGGGGACATTTCCAGGGCGACCTGAGGAGGAATATCGTCACCAGCTGGGCCGGTATGGCATCTCTGGAGAACTGGCAATGCGCCCTGTTGCAAGCTTGTCAGGGGGCCAGAAGAGCCGGGTGGCCTTTGCTCAGATGACCATGCCCTGGTGAGCCCTGATTTTCTAGCATTTTTGCCCTTTCCATTTCCCTTTTTGCCCAATAGAAAATGATTCTCTCGTCTTTGTATCAGAGGGATGCATTTTCTCCCACCATCCCCTTCATCACATAACTGTCCACCTTCCTGGGTTCTGCCTTCCAGTCCCAACTTCTACATTCTGGATGAACCCACAAACCATCTGGACATGGAGACAATTGAGGCTCTRGGCCGAGCTCTAAACAATTTCAGGGTGAGTATGCTTTCACCCTTACCACCACTCCCTACTTCTCAGTTTGCTTTCCCCCTGAGCACCTCTTGCTATCCTGTTTTTCAGGGTGGTGTGATTCTGGTGTCCCATGATGAGCGCTTCATCCGGCTTGTGTGCCGAGAGTTGTGGGTGTGTGAAGGAGGCGGCGTCACCCGGGTTGAGGGGGGATTTGACCAGTACCGAGCCCTCCTTCAGGAACAATTTCGCCGTGAGGGCTTTCTCTAGGGCCACCAGGCTAAGGACTATGCCCAGGACCTGGACTGGTTTTGAAGATCTCTGGGCCACCATTTAAGCAATCACGTCCAGGCCACAGACTTCCCCCTACCTGGGGACAGCCTTATTCCAAGATCTCTTCCTTTTGACTGGAGCATTCTCTATACAATGTGGAGAGCCCCATCCAAGGGTCTGTAAGGACTATATCCCAGCAGAAGGGGGTGGGGGTACCCTCTAGGGTTGTTTACCCCCACTGCCCCAGATTGACTGGGCCCCAAGTGGCTGCTATGTAAATTAAATTATCCCCTGCATCTCCTTTGCCTCATCTCTACTGCTCCCTCTCAGGGCTGCAATGGGATACATATTATTGAGGGTGTGGGCACTCTGGTCTTTTTCTGTGACACTGGTATCAGTCACACAGAGGAAACAATAGCAGTACCAATTGTGTCCCTCGGAAGAGACATTGAGTCTTGTGTGGCATTAAGGTCATCTGCCTGACCTGGGGGTAGGCTGAGTGGTGGAATGAAGGGCAGTGTATTGGTATCATGTGGTGCTTATACCCTGGCCTGGGCTCAGCCTCAGCTGAAGGGATCTTGGACTCCGCTGTCTTAGCCCCTGCTGCTTAGGAGTCAGATGGATTCTGAAATCTGGCCTGCTTTCTCCAGGATTCTCTGGCCTATCTTTGTCTCCATTTTGCATCAGTGTTTTCATATTTTTTAATTTTTTTTAATCATATAGGAGAGACCTGAGAAGTAGGGAATTGAGAACAGAATCTAATGGGAAAAACTAGGACACTTCATTTTCAAATTAACCATTCTTTGAGAGGGAAAGCCAGTGCAGCACCCTGCGTCTGGAGTGCCATCTACTTGGGAGGCTGAGATAAAAGGGTTGCTTGAGTTCAGCACACAGGAACTTGGGTTCAGCCTAGATAACAGAGACATATCTCAAAAGCAGGTGTGTGTGTGTGTGTGTGTGTGTGTGTGTTTAATTACGGTCTTATGATTTGTAAATGTTGTTGAAGAATTTAGCTGCTATTGTAATTGGTAAGCAGAAGACATTAAAATGAAGATGTTACTCAATGACAGCAGAAAAAACACCAGATGGAACTGGCTAGCCTTGTGGAAATTGTAGTCACAAAGTTCAACCAAGGAAACTTCAAGCTGAGGGTTTTGAGGTATAGCTAGGGGAGAGAAACCTTTGGGGAGTAAATAAATAAAGGCAGATGGGCTGGGTGTGGCTCATTGGTAGAGAGCTTGCCTTGGAGGTGTGAGGCACTGGGTTCCATCCTCAGCACCACATAGAAATAAATAAAGGCTTTTTTTTTTTTTTTAAATTAAATAAAGGCAGGAAGGCTCTATTGAGCCACAGAGCAGACACAGATTGAGGGAGCTGACAGAAGGGCTGCTGAGCTGTCCACCCCTCAGCATCCCTCTCCTGGAAGTTGAGGTGTTCCTCCAGCTATGTCTCTGGCCATGTGTACTCTCGGCACTCCTGAGAACTTTGTAACAGCCCCCCAAATTCTCTTCCAACTTCAGACCTGCAGATAGATGAGTCAGGGAGCCATCTGGAGAACATGTCTGCCAGACTTTCAGCCCCAGAGCCTCCCCAGCTTGTGAACCTCCATAGGAGTTCTTCCAAGTACTTTAGGGACCTGGTAAATACAATTGGGAGCTTGTGTGACATAGTCTGTTTTTGCACACCAAATCACTGAAGTTGGAATTGAATATAAAGGTAAAGCTCACTTTTTATTGCTCACTTTTTTAAAAATATTTTTTTGAGAGAGAGAGAGAGAATTTTTTAATATTTTTTAGTTTTTTGGCAGACACAACATCTTTGTATGTGGTGCTGAGGATCGAATCCGGGCAGCACGCATGCCAGGCGAGCGCCCTACCGCGTGAGCCACATCCCCAGCCCTTCTCACTTTTTTAAAGCTCACTTTTTATTATTATGATGAGCTGCCAAGATCCTGAGAAGGGATCTTGGCAGCTCATCATAGCATCTACTACATAGCATCTACTACTTTGTTTATTGCTAAACAAACAGGCCAACAATAGAAGCTGGGTAGCCAAACAAATCCCTTAACATCTACTCAGGATTTGCCACCAAGCACAATACACAGGCATTTAGAAAGTGGCTCATGTCTGACCAGTCTGATTTGAAGGACTATTTTATGGGAAAAGATGTCAACTTTTCTGTAAGTTTCTCCTCTAGAGCTAGGCCAGTGGGCTGACAGGAAGACAAACTGTAGTCGTTGAGGCTGCCTCATGATTGTACCCCCACTCAAGAGGGCTGTGTGGCCCATCAGAAAATGGCTTTCTAGGGTAGGAGGTAGTCCTGGATGGCTTGGCTTCCACATTACCAAATCCATGAAGGAGACATGAAGAGCCTGTATGTGTGGAAGTGCCAGCCTTCAGGAAGGTGGCATGAATGAATTATAGTGCTGAGAAAAACTAGTTTTTGAAAATGAGAGGAGAGTTGTCTTGAGGGATGGAAAAATGGCAGTGTCAGCCAGCTCCATTGCAGAAAACAGTGGATAAAGAGGAATCCGACGGAAGGAAGATGCCCTGGATCACTCCAGGCTGGATCATGGCGGCCACCCCCTTCCCTGGTGATGCCAGCCAGTTGGGAAGCAGTCTTTCCACAACTGCTGACCCTGGAGGTGCTCTGCCAACATCATACCCTTAGTCAATCAGGAGCTGGTCAGGGTAAAAGGCCTCAGTCTACAGATTCTTCTTTGAAATTCTGGCCTCCCTACCTCTGCTGGCCAGACCGTACTCACCAATACCTTCTCTGACAACCTGGCTTACCCCTGATGGGTGGCTATGGGGCCTTCAGTCCAGTCTGTGAGGTATTCAGATGCCAGTTAGAGACTTATTTTCTTCTGTGTGGTGTTACTGTCTTGAGATTTGTTGGACAAACCCATCATTAAGCTAAGTTTAGCATCACAGCCTGGCTCTGCATCAGGCTGGAGCATGGAGACTGGATATCAGAGACTGTATGAAGTCTCAGCAGGCTAGCAGGGTGGCCCCAGGCTGTGGAATGCTTTCACAGCCTGAGTGAAGGGTTTCTAGAAGTCCCTGAACCTGGAGTGATGAACTGCCCTCAATTCCACCCTCCTCCAACTAAGCTGCCATTGCTTTTTTTTTTTTTTTTTTTTTTTGCTTCCCCCATCATGAGCTGCAGGCTATTAAGATACAGTTTCTGCTTTGCCTTGACATCCTAGAGGTCCAGACTGTGGCTTACTCATTCTTCACATCTTTTGTGCCTGTTGCAGATTGGGTTTCCTGGGAGTATATTGAAGATATCTGCATGCAGCATATAGGAATGGAAGGGAGGGCCTGGAAATAGAATCAAGCAGAGAGAGAGAACTTGAGCAGCAATCCAGGCCCAAGGAGAACCTGGGTCAGCCCCACATTCTGGAACTGGGATAGCCCTGCAGAGTTGTCCTGAGTTGGGGCAGTGGGCCAAATCTCCCTTCAGTTAAGGCTGTCAGCCTTTGGATGTTGGCTGCTACCAGGAGGCATGACCTTGGGAGAGCTTTTCCTCAGCTGAGGCAATACCTGCAAGGGACTGACGGCTGAAGACTTTCTGCTGTTAGTACTTTCAGCAGTGAGGGCAACAGTATTTCATTCCCGAGAAGGGGTCTTGGCAGCTCATCATAGCATCTACTACAGTGCCTAGAGCATAATAGGTGCTTAGTAAAAATATTTTATTTGACAAATTAATACTTGAGGAAAATTTGAGATAGATGATGACATTGAAGGAGAAAGTACAGACAAGGTACCCATTACCAGAATTCAGTGTTAATGGGGTGGGGGTCAGGACAAAGGAGGTGAGATGAGATGCAGCATGTTTGGGTAAAGTTTTTAACTTTACCCAAACTATAGAGTGTAGTTTCTCTAGCCAAAATCTTTACAATGAAACGAGATGGAAGCATTGGAACACTAAGTCAAGTTTTTTTTGTTTTTTTGGTACTGGGGTCTGAATCCCAGGAGCATTTTAGCATTGAGCCGATACCCTTTTTAGTTTATAATTTTGAGGCAGGGTCTTGCTAAGTTTTTTAGGGCCTTGCTATCTTGCTGAGGCTGGCTTTGAACTTTTTGGGGGGTGGGGTACCAGGGATTGAACTCCAGGGCACTCAACCACTAAGCCACATCCCCAGCCCTATTTTGTGTTTTATTTAGAGACAGGGTCTCACTGTGTTGCTTAGTGCCGCAGTCCGGCTGCAGCAAAGTAACGGGGGTGGGAGGGGGGGTGACGAGCAACTTGTGTAGATTGATACAGCAGGAGTGGGAGCCGTTTCTTGTAGGACAGGAGTGGTATTCCACACAGCTTATCTTAATTAACAAACTAGATACAGCAGTCAACCAATAAGGAATCTCCACACTTAATGGCTCGCTGGCGTTACTTCACAAACCACTCCCTCTGGCAAAATGCCAGGCGCCATCCTGACTTGTTTACAGACCCTAACACAGCGCCACACCATTGCTGAGGCTGGCTTTGATTCTCCTGCCTCAGCCTCCTAAGCCACTGGGATTACAGCTGTGTGCCACTGAGCCGGGCCTGGCTTTGAATTTTTGATCCTCCTGTCTCAATCTCCCAGCTGCTGGGATTACAGGCATGTGCTACTATGCCTGACTAAAGGGATCTTTCAAAAAAATTTTTTTAACTTCCCCTTGTTTTCTTTCGAGGAAATGCTAAGGAACTTTCAGATAATAACAGTGAAATGTTTCAAGGCTCTTGGGCAGTAGGCACGATTGAAGTGCTTTCCCTTATTAACTCAATCCTTACAACCTTATAAACTGGCACAATTACTAATCCCATTTTATAAATGAAGGAGTTGACATGGTGGCAGGACTGAGATTCAAGAGCACAGCTCTTAACTGCCACACTGGGCTATGATGTTGCTCTTGCTGTGACATGATGTGCTGAATATCGCTTATTAATGTCACCTCTTAAGCCTTATCATTAATTGGGCAGGGGGCTTGGTCAAGCTTTCCTCAGGAAAGCAAGTTAGTGAGGGGAATTCCTTGGCAGAATGGCTTACACATAGGAGGTGCTTAGAGAAAAAATGATTCAGAGTTTGTGGTATAGTGGAAAAGTCATGACATGGGATTGGCTCAGCTCTACCACTGATGGTCTTAAGCAAGTCAACATCTCCTGAATAAATCATTCATATTCATAAAGTGAGCCTCACTAGGATATCTTGCCTGCTGCTTTGAGTAGTAGTTTGTTTTTGCAGTACTAGGAATAAAACCCAGAGACACTTTAACCCTGAGCTACATCCTCAGTCCTTTTTCACTTCAAGACTATCTGATCA